TCTTTCCAAGAAGTGTCAATGACAGGCAAGAGCTTGTGGAGACCTTCTTCACGTGGAAGATGTTTGCTCTTAAAAAGCATAATGCAGAAATTACTTTAATAGCACTTGTATCTGCAACGGCTACATTTGCCAGTATTCCTGTCCAGCTACTCCTGTGGAAGCATGAATAAGGTGACACAAGTGGCTTCAGATTGGAATTACCCAGATGAGTTCATGTACAACTCTCTTACTATCTTTGTGACCTGTTCTCCAAGCAGAGCACATTAAAATCCTTCCTCTGTGGAATCCTACCCACTTCCCACGTTAATATTTTTTGATCTGTTGCCAAAGAGGGGGTACACATGGCGGGGTTCTTTCTGCACACAATGTTGCCCAAATGATGCAGTTCCACTCACAGACATTTCCACATACCTAGGATTTCCATGTTTTTAGTAATCCATCATCTAAGCTTAGTCTGAGTAGATTCAAAATATGGTGGTAAAGATGTCAGAATCTTGAACAAGCTACAGCCTCCACAAATAGAGATTAGTTCCTTGGATAACTGTGCACCCAGAAATCTTAGATTCGCTACAGCTTGGGGAAAGATCTCAGTGATTACATTGTGAATTGGATCTTGTACTGCTGCCGTGACAGAATTGTTTGCTCCCCATTTAGGCTGGGTATCATTTGCCCCATCTGCACAGTGTCATAGCAGTTGCCAAGGCTCAGTCAAGTCAGGTGTTACCTGTAGCTCTTGAGGGGAGACATGATGTTGAAGGAAAGCAGACAAGAAGGTTGTTCTCCAAACCAAAGAGTGCTATTCCCAGCTAATGATGCATGCTGGGCCAAACTCCAAAAGCCATAGGTTGATTGTAATGTCTTTTTGGCTCATGTAACTAACACAGGGGTGGGCAAAATAAGCCTGTGGCCCAGATCTGGTCCACCAACAGACGTTATCCAGCCCACAACGGGTCCCTCGGCCCTGCCCAACCCAGGCACAGGGTGCAGCCTGGGCCATGGCATGTGATGCTGGTCCCACCGTTCCCAGGTGCGCAGTGGGACTGGGGCAGTGTGGTGGCCAGACTCCACTTCCCAGTAGCCCCAGTGGCAACAGCTCCTTCTGGCTGCAGCTGCTAGCGTCACCACCACTGGGACATGGTCTCACATCCTGGGATCAAAATGCTTGTGGTTTATTCCTGCAAGGGAGAAGATATTCCTTTGAAACAAATAAGGAGTGGAAAGGCAGAAAAAAGAAAAAAAAATCCTTTTGTGCCCTCTTACAAAAGGAAATTCAAATGCCAGAAAATTCAAATGTCTGGTCAGGTCAATTGCTACCTAGGTCTGATACTAGTATGCTGTTAGCCATATATTCATTTTGCAAACTATACAAACGATAAAGGCACCACAATTCTGGAGACAGAACCCCAAAATATAATACGCGTCTTCCACTCAAACCATCTTATGAGAAACAATTTACTTTAATGTTACTTTTTAAGCAATGCAGTCCATGATAGTTGTGACAAGATTCAAATCAACTAGAGAAATACTATTGATAGATATGCTGTCATTTTAAACCTATATTTTTAAGAAAAAAATTATATTAAGTGGGTAATTACACAGAGGAACAGTTTGGTTTGAAGAGCTGCTTGAGTTGCTGCACTAGAGGCTTGCTCAACTTCTTTAAATGTATTTTAAGTAGGAGCTGGATGATCCTAAAATTAGACATTCATGATGAGGTCTAATAGAAATACAATTATCATTCCTGCCTTAATTATTTTCCACAGGTCATCTTTACAATAGTTTTTTATAGTCTTTTTCATGATCTGAGTATGCCAGTTCTCAAACTTTTTTGGGAGTTTTGTTTTCCTGGGGAAAAAGGATGGGCCTATGGTTTAATTCCAAACTTTGCCACATAATACCACTTTGGTCTTGGAGAAGTTATTTAATTACTCTGCCACTGGGGCCTAATGGGGATAATACAATTGCCTACCTTTCTCACAGGGCAGTAGAAGAATAAATGTTTTTGCCATGCTGAGGACATCATCAATAAAGGACATGAGTAGATTTATGATTTTGAGAAGGGGACTGCAGACAATGCGACTGGTACCACATGGGTTGTTCCCAGCAGCATCTGCCAGGGATTGTTTGAGTCCCCTAGGCAGGTATGACTCCCTCACCCACTCTGGGCATCTCCTCCCCTTCTCTGCAGCAGGAGTTGCCTCTGGGACTCAGGAGGGACTCACCTGCCCTGGCAGATCCAGGGTGGAGGAAGCCCCAGAGCTGCTCCTGCCCTGCTCTATCCAGGGGCTGTGGTGAGTGGCTGCCCAAAGTACTAGGATCAGCTGCGGACAGCCATGGCAGAAGATGGGTCCCCTATTCCAGCACCTGCTTTCTGCCCAGTCCATCTGGATTTCCTTCCATCGGCTTGGGGCAGGTGCTGGAAGAAGGAACTGCCCACTGATGCTATGGTCCCCACCTCAGCCTAGCCCCTTGCCCACAGATGGAGTCCCTGGGGTGGCAGAGGAAACAGGGGAAAGGACAGGAAACAGGGACCTGCCCACTGCCACTGTTGCAAAGCTCAGCAACCAGTACAGTTGCTCATGGCAGCCCCGAGCCTAAGGGAGGGACTAGGGGTTGGGCCTCCCCATCCCTGGTGAATCAGGGACAGTAGCAGGGGTGAGCAGGTCCCACGTTCTCACCTGCTCCTTGCTTACTCCCTCATTATGGCCTACCAACCCAGGGCTCTGGCCATCCTCAGATGCTACAGGGAACCCCAGCATCTGCAGCTGAAGGGAACTGGAGCCCTCAGCATGTAAGCTACACTGTTGACGGGGAGATACAACCATACCATTGCATCCCCCTGGAACTGCCCTTGATAAAAGGCCATAGGGATATCAATTTAGAGAGAGATTTATGCACCAGTCCCACTTGCCTGCACCCAGTAGAGGGATTTATGAAAAAGCCTAGATCAGGAACTAAGTTAGCTACTGAAAAGTTTGTCAAAGTCAGTGCCAGTTTTTCCACACAGTTCCACAGCTCTGGGCTCGCTTGTTGGGGCTGCACGTGGTGACAGCAGCTGCGGCCCCCTCACCTGTTTTCTACCACCACCTGTGGGCTGCCCAGTGCACAAGCTCTGGGCAGGCAGCAGCAGCCAACACTGCCCGGAGTAGCAAGTGGGGGGGGGCCACAGCTGCTGCCGCTGATGGGCAAGCCCAGAGGTGGCATGGAGCCCAGGCTGACAGCGGGGCCAGGTTACAAACTGGTGCTGAGTGCAGGGAAAAGTGGCCCCTCGTTCACCCTGTGGCTGGCGCCCTGCACTGGAGCCGCTCACAGCCCGCATGGGGTTGCCTGTGCCTCCTCCCGACGGCCCCGCGT